AGGAATGGAAGACACAAGAGAACAAAACCAGGACAAATACTTGAATGAAACATGTATTTTCCTCAGCTGTTATTATTTTACCTTTACCACTGAGACAAACATAGGATTAGGTTATTATTCCCCAGCAGAAAGCAAAAATACCTCCCATCTCTAATAATTTTTAGGTTTTCAGCTACATTTACAGCAAATAGATCCTTAAATCATTGACTTCCCTGCCCCTCTCCAATGTTGCCACTAACTGGATTTAACCAAACTTCTTTCACTACAGTGAATAAAATATGTATCCCCATCCCCTCAAACATATCTGGAAAAATGCTGTCAAAAATTGTAACAAATTAGGAACAATTTGTGAAGATCATTTTCATGGTCTTAAGAATTCTATTCAGATATGCATTTCAAGAAGTAAGAGCTGTTCCTGGAAATTATTTTAAAATTTGGCAGATTGCATTAAGTAACAGTATGCTGTCTAAATCAATCAGCACTATTATAAGATAATTCCTTGACTAATGCTTAGTGAAACATAAATCCATACTGATTCAAAGTCACTCCATTTAACAAGTATAATAGCTGTTTATATAGATAGCAGCAGCAAGCAGTTGTTCAGGCAGAATGAGATATTTATGATTAACATATGTCAATGACACAGTATAGAGAAATACAGGCCTGTCACAAAAGCAGAGGTCTTGAGAAGGGGTGACACAGGTTATGGCATAGAGGAGTACAGGCATGGGGTGATAAGAGATGGCGACCAGGCTTGGACTGGAGACCACATGTCATAAACAGCTCAGCAATCGTCAGTTGTAGAAACTGCACACCTGGAGCTAGATAAAATTTACTTTAGGGGTAACAACAAGGACACAGAAGTAGTATCTAGCATACACAAATGGCACCATATATGGTAAATTCAGATGTAAGTTGTCTCTCAGCAGAAGAAAGAAAAAGAGGAGGAAGAAATCATCAACATGAACACCACATTCCTCCCACCACAGGACTCCAGATGCTCATAACTTGCTGAAACATCCCCACTCATCAACAACACAAGCATGAAATCACCAAGCTTAAGACCCAGAGATGTAGTGAAGAGTGAGCAAAACACCAGGAAAAAGGGTAGAAACTAAGTTTGTGTGTTACTGTTTTAATTATGTACTGCTGTTATGGAGGCTTTTTCTGTATGTAACTACTCTACCTGGATTAATATTCTTTGTTTTATTCTAAGAGTTAAATCTAGACTAATGATGACTCTTGAATTAGATAGACCATTAAGATTTCCATTACATTAACAATAAATTCTTAGATTCATATACATATATGTAAATACACATGTCTATACATGTAAATGTGTGTGTATATATATAAAATACAACTTTTTTAAAAAAAAAAACCAAACCAAAAAACAAAGGTGTGTTTCCTCTTTGCCCATAAGAAGTTCTTGATCATAATATTTTGACCCTAACACAGGTAAAACTGTTTTGAAAATGTGAGCAGAGCCAACTTTTCTCAAATATCAGGCCTTTCCAAAGTGTCCTGAAGTTCATCACCAAACAACTAATGAATCCAGAAATAAGCAAACACATAATATTTAATATTTAAATCAGAACGACATCCACAAATTATGGCACTTTTAACTAATTATACGAGTATCTGGCAAACTACATGAAAACCCACAGAACTGATGTTGGCTGGAACAGTACTCCAACTGCAAAACAGAGTCAGCCTCAGAAGCTTATGAAGTACTTCCAAGAAAATTAGTAAACTAAGAGTACAGATTTTAGCCAAGTATAAATTGCTATCATTATTCTATAGATGAGTCAGCACATATGTCCTCACGAATTTTTGTTTGTTTGTTTTTTAAAATAAAGCATTAATTGAGAGCACCCTGTCATGACAATAGAGAAAGCAAAACCAGACTTCAAATGAAAGGAGAAATCTGCAAGTTTTCTGAAGAAAAAGCTAATGGCTACCACATTTTACGTACAGAGTGATATTACTGCAGCTGAATTGCCAGAACTTACCAGCCACAGAAACAACAAAAGAATTAGATAACTTTCCACTGAAGTTTACTCATATTTACAAAGAAAGTAATTACCAAGTTCTGTCAATGGACTTTTTGGAGCATCAGAGATTCTGGATCCAGAAGGAAGTGGCTGTATTTCATTAGAAGCTATGATAAAAGAAATAATCAAGGGTTTACTTGATTAAGAATATTACAAGACAGAGTATGGATCTATATTTTGGCTTATAAACCACTCACTCCTGAAACCAATGGTATTTAATAAAAAAGAAAAAAGTGGTTCCAACCTAGGAAAAAACCACACAACTTTGTCACTTAAAAAGGTATGTAGAATACGAACAACATCATCTTTTCCATAATCATAATATAAAGATTGATTGGTCACAGGAATCTGGTAATGAATATCCGTCAGTGACTATGACCACCTAGTTTGAAATTAAGCAGTGACCCATTTTGATTAAATTTCATTTTTGGCAAACAAGCAAGGTTGATTTTACTTTAAAAAAAATTATTAAAAGTTACAATGAAAATTAGATTGACTGATGGTTTAGCTTCAGTAAATTCTGGAAATCTGCTTGCAACTGTAAATGAAAGGAGACAAGAAAGTATGATATTAACATGAATCAATAGGATTATGTAAAAATGTGTTTATTGAGAAGCGTCAGCAGTCATCTTCATGGGAAGATCTGTATTTCAGTTCTGCAAATGCCTATGACCTTTTCCTTCATCATACATCATCCTGTATGTATGCCATCTGTTCTTTAGAAAAATGTAAGCGAAGTTTAAAAAAAAAAAAAAAAAAGAAATACAATCTCATATTTAGTTTTGTGTTCATAACTTTGCATGGTTTGGGGATTAAAATCCAGGCAACAAAATCAACATTGGAGAATTTAGAATTCTGGATGCAATTTAGAATTCTGGATGCAATTCTGGATGTAAGTGGGTGCTGCTGCAAATCACAAAACTAACAATACTACTACTTAAATGAGAAATCTCTCATTCTGAGACATCTTTATGAAGAAATCAGTAGGGCTCTTTTTTCCTCCAGAACAAATACAATCATATCGTGTCACTTGCAATACAAAGTTTTCCTTTTGCATCACTGTTGATGCTACCTAAAGGAACCTGTCAGAGGAAAAACAAGGAGGTAATTATTTGGATTCTATCACTGAAGTTAATTTTACTGACGGAAATTTTATGTGATGTCAGGCATGGGGATCACATAGACAGAAGCCATTACTTTGAAAAATAAAATGGAATCACTCAGTCAAATCTGCTAGCACTAATCACATGTATAAGGGCCACAGTTCAGCCATAACTAGATGCATCCTGCTTTATATTTCAGTGAGCCGCTGGAAACACAAAGGGAAGCAGAAATTTTTAATTAGGACTTCCTTTGGAGTCAATACAAAGGGGATGCAGCAAGTAGCAGAAAAATTCTGCTGGAAATGAAAAGATAATTTAATGAACAAAGGTAAAAACCAGCAAAATTAGTTACCCAGTATGTTTTGAGCTTGCACCAATTCGGGTTTAGGCGTTGATCTAAATTCCTCAGGTCCATGTTTTTTCTCAGCCTGAGCTAGAAGAAAGAAGTTTTATTTAATTTAGAATCCCTCTGATCTTTTCTTTATCTACTGCCCAAATCCCGCTGCTGCTTTTACCACCAATTTATGCCACCTGATTAGACTAATTTCTGCAGTAGCTCAACTCCATCACAATTAATACTTAATTTTGTTTTCATATGTGAAGTCTATATGATATTTTGGATTTATTTTGTTGCAGTTTTACAAAAGGAAAGGAAAATATAAGTCACAAAGAGCAAAGCTAAGATTAGAATCTCACACTGTACTTCAATTACAGCCTGCCAAATTCATTATGATATACATTACAAATAAGATCCATTACATCACGAAGTGTATTTACAAATACTTTCCCGGTTATTCTGGATTATTTTTAATCCTTTTAATACAAATATTATCGGAAAAAGAATAAAGATTCACCTATAATACCTTAGCTTTTTAATTCTCCTAGCTTTTGACTTCCATTCATTCTAATTCCATGTCTTCAGAGTAAGGCATGGGCAGTTTATTAACCAGCCATCAAATGCACCTAAACTGAATTGTTGACCATATTGTAATAAACTAGTGCATAATTATTCTCTTCCAGCTGTTTCACATAATATTTAATTCCTATGGTGTGTAAGTCAAGATCACTTCTTTCCTTTCCATCTTGCTGGAGAGGTCCCATGGTCCCATGGCATTTAATCAGTCATACAGTAGATAGAACTCATAATCTCATATTATAAAATGCCAAAGCTTATTGATACAGATTTCAGATAGTAAAGTCTCAGCTTTGAATATGGTAAGAGCATTAATTCCTTCTACAGAGCAAATTGCACAGTATTTAGCACACGTTGGTATTTAGAGAAGATCTTTAATATTGGTGATCAGCATCAATATACCTCTAAGTTTTAGTATTCATTCAGTTTAATATAAGATCACTTTCTTTTCAAGATACAATGGAAGAGAATTACTTTTGTTTTTCCAGCATGCTCTCCATGCTTTTTCCACAATCCACTGAGTATGCTTCAAGGAAGAACTGATCATGTAGGTTTATAAGCTTCTTACTTCATTTTCCAAAGACAACATGCTGTTTTCCAGATTCTAAATAGTTACTTAGATACTACTACAGTTGTAGCCATTATACGCTTTTCTGTTTTGGAGTCTGGTGCTTTTCAGTGCCACAAAAGCTGGAATATCATCAGATGCTGCCTTATTAGGAGCCAACTCAGCTGCTTCTAAGTCAGTTACAGTGCTGTTACTGTCATCAGTGGAAGCAGGATTTCATTCTACAGAGAAGTTAAAGCAATTGGTCTCTATGAAGCTTGTGGGAGAAAACTTCTGGAGTACTTCAAAAGCTGACATTTTCTACTGGTGAAATGTAATCATAGGGGGAAAAAAAAAACCCACCGCCAAAAGCAAATACAGAACTTTAGAACTCACTATGCTTTGGTCTTTTTCAGAGGTCAGCTGTTTTATACTCATATGAAGCATGTCCCTTGTCAGCTAAGCTAACTGAGCAAGCTGAACAAGAAAAAGCATGCCTAGAATTGGGATGAAAGAAACTAAGCTCTCCTCTGTTTTGCACAGAACATTGTAGGGATTATGTGAATCAACCACAGACATGTTTGTAAAAAAAGACAAAAAAAAAAAAAAAGATACAGGAAACAGAAAGTTTAGGCTTTAAAAGCTAAATTAAAGGAAAAAATAGAGAAATGCCTCTGACTTTTCCAGGGCACCAGATAAACTAGGTTCTTAATGTGCTTGTTCAATTGTAGCTGCAAAGCAAATGATTAACACAATCAAGCAAGGTAAGTTACTTTACTATCACAGCATGGAATACAGCAAGAATACATTTAGGCAGCATTTCTTAAACTATTTTTCTCTCTAACTTCTCTTGACCCTCTCATTCATGTTCCTCTCTTCCTCCACAACTGGAATTAAGATATTCTGATGGAAGCAACAGTCTTACTCCTCCTCATATCCCAGGTGAGCATAAGGGGAAGGTCTTCAGGGGCCAGAAGGAGCACAGGAAGAACAGAACTTGGGAAACATGGCAACAATGGAATTATTCCTACTAAACATTAACCCTAGTTTGATTTCACAGGTAGTACTTTTCATTTCAAGACTATTCTCTATTTCACAAACCTACTTTGATAAATTTCTGGTACAATCCCTTACATAAAGAAACAACTTGCTTGCTTTTTTTTTTTTTTTTTTTTTTTTCCCAATAAACAAACTAGTTCTTTCATGTCCTAGACAAGTATGCTGGTATTTCTAAGTGTTGATTAGCTCTAATTTCCCTCTGAAGTTAATAAAAAGACTCACACTAGATTCAACTGAGAGAAAAAAAAAAAAAAGTAGTAGTAGTTGAAGTGTATTAGACAGCATTTTAAAAATGGAAGAAAAAAAAAAGTATTATGAATTCGAACTGTTATGTTAAGAATAAATTAGTCCTAAGAGGAAAATATTGTGACAGGCTTGGCAAAAACTAACCATGAAAGAGCTACTAACTAGTCTTTCCATAGAAGTGCATGCCAAGGGAAGGGAGGCCTGAAATTAAGAAAATGATGGGATGCCTGGCTGACAAATACATCAAAAAAGTTACTGAACATCACAAGACACACCCTTTGACAAAGACCCAGTGGAATACGTAAGTGGCCCAGCTCATGGGGCCTTTCAGATAGTCCGCTTGCTGAAATACTTCAAACTCCTTTCTTCCCTTCTTGCATGACTGATGATACAATGGCTGCTACAGCACAAAGCTCCTTTTAAATCAGTGTTCTGTTGCCACTTCTCGCACCAGTCCTTAAACTTTTCGCAGCAAATAATTACTATGCTTTACTCAAACAATCCAGTATGATTTTCAAATAGGGAAGGCTGAATGAAACATAATGAAGTAGAGCTTGTTGCTAAACTCAATTAGTTGTGCCTATATGTTACCCTGTCTCTCAAATGCAACCCTTGCAAAAGGCCAGTGCTCAGATCTCTCGCTCAAGTTACTTGTGAAAGTCTGACTCAAATGCTTCAATATTCAATTTGGTTTTGCATATGCAATGGCTAGACAGAAATTACACTTTTACTTTTATAGGATTCACTTTCATTTCCCTGTTTCCTGCCACACTCTTTTTTTTTTTTTTTTCCTCTTTAACTGAAAACCTGTGACCACAATGAATACATTAAAGAATATAAATTGTGTGACATACTCATATTTTAACATCAGACACTGGTGCTGTGATCAACAAAGGATGACTGAAAGGAACGGTCACCACAGAAAAACAGACATGGAAGCAAAACCACAGAGGAAGCATAAAGTGAAGATGAAGATTATTCTAAATATTTCAGTAAATAACTAATGGGTTGATAACAGCAATAATATGTTTAGGTGTAACAAATATTTATATATCATTTGTCACTAAAGACAGTACTTGTCAATATTATCACGTATAATGAAACACATTATCCAACTTCATAAACATATAATTCTGTGCTATATCTAGAGATGACGATGCTTATGGTTAGAATTACTGCGCGCCATGTACATAAACATAGTTACAGAACACAAAGGACAGGAAACACAATGGACCGATTCTCTTCTCCCCAGGTGATATATCAAATCTGGTGCCAGATTTCACAGTAAATAAACCAGTAAATTCTGGGACAAGGAATGAGATATTTTGATCAGATGAACTCAAGCCTGAGGACTAGGATTTTGCGGTGGAGCAAATCATATAAATTCATGCATTCAGTTCTCATTTTCACAAAATGGCCAAATATATGTTACAAAATATATTCCTAGATTGCTTGTTCTGTGGTTACTTAGACAAGGAAAATAATTTCACTAAATAACTGCAGAATTTAAGTCCACAAGAGACCTCAAACCGTAAAACAACAAAAAAATTTAATTGAAAAAATTATTCTTTACAGTTTTTTAAAAAGTATCCACACATTTCCATTAAAAGCAAGCTGTTTATTACACATATGCTAAACTTGTAAATTTCAGAGACATCTTTGATAACAAATTCCTCTGGAGGATCATCTTTGTTTTCTTCTTAATATTTAGGATGAAAAGAGCTATCCATACAAAGCTATTGGAGAAAGGAACTGATGGTTAAAAGTAGAAATTGGCAAATACACTTATCTATCAAGTAGAAAATAAAATCCTGCAAATGTTTTCAGAGAAAAAAAAAAAGATGGATTGGTTAATCTAAAAGATGGTTGTCAATCATTACATGATTTTGCTGCGTTGTTTCATCCTACATGTTTTATTCCCTACATATTCTTTGGGAGGGTTTTGTTTGTTTGTTTGATAAAGACTGAGTTGCTCTGATGATGTAAAGTATGGTATCTTTGATATACTTAAGGAATAATATAAACACAGTCGTATTCAACAGCAGTATCTGTGTGAACCATGGGACATCAAAGCAATACTGTGACACAGCATTTCAGCCAGCCAGGAAATACTTCATAGATGGAATAGAGTAATGCAAGCAAGATCACTATGACTAAGCTAAAATCAAGCAAACCTTCACTGTATTGTTTCCTCAAGTTCTTTTTTTATTTTAAAGCCTTGCCACTGTTTAAGCGTCCTTTCTCCCTTTCAGCAAAGAAGTTGGCAGAAGCCAACCATTGTCTCTGGCAGCAGAATCAAGACTTCAGTCTCAGTTATAGGATAGAAGCCAGACTACAGAAAATGAAGATAAGCATATGCCTACATAAAGAATTCTGAAATGTGGGTCAACAAGTAGGTGGAAAGTCACTCTTCATCATTTAACTCTGAACAAGATGGATTTAATTTTAGTTTATGTATTTGGCAAAGATATTCCACATAGTTTCTAAAAATAGGGTTTTCATTACCTGGGAGGGACTGTGGGGAGATTTCTTGAACTTCTGGTGTTTTGGATTCAGCAGGCCATACTTGAGTTTCATTCTTAGCTAAACGGACAAAGACATTAGAGAGTAATTGCAAAGCTGTATCTGCTCTATTCTACTACAGATTTATTTCTGTCTCATGTCAGTTTGCCAAAGTAAACCAACATGGATACATGCAGAAAGCTGAACACTTTTAGGAATCAACGAACTTCTGCTGCACAATCAGTACAAGCATCTGTCTACCTATGTTAAATCCATGCTTTTTTTGTACCATTTTGTTCATTAAAAGATTCCTTAAAAATAAATTTTGCAGCAAGGATTTTAATGCCTGACAAATCATTACTTTCACAGTGCAAAACTGTCTTCAGTGTTTTCATTTGTCTAGCATTTGAGCATTAACAGCAAAAATGCTTTCCAAATTCAAAGATGTAATACAGTTCTAAGCGTTATGCAAGATTAGTTCAAATAAAATGGAATTGTCACAGCAGTCATGTCCTTATTTTCCTTTCCATGACTTCTAACAATTACAGTGGTATGACAATAGCCTTCTATTCCAACAGACAGAGAGATATTCCAGCAGTGGGTAGAGGGAAAATTAATTAATTTGACTATAATGATACACAGCTTGTTTTTTTTTTTTTTTCCACTGAGGACTAAGGAAATATATTTTGTGGGTTTTTTTTGTTTTGTTTTTTGGTTGGTTGGTTGGTTTTTGTTTTGTTTTGTTTTGTTCCCCCCCCCCCCCGACTCCCACTCTTTAAAAAAAACCTATTAATTTTTTGATTAAGTAAGCAAAAAAATATTTTGCGAATTCAATAAATATATTATGTGATTTACTAGTTTGACTTTTCTAAATAATACAGAATTAGAATAGTTGCAGTATATCAGCAAATGATAATTAGTCATAACTTCACACACACCATAAGCCTTATTGCATTTTATTGCCCAACATTCTTGGGCATCAGCGAGGGACATCTGTATAGATTTGGACAATATGTCTTTTTGTCAATTATTTTACACATTTAAATTATTTCTCAGAGTATTTTTGCTTTCCAAGAAATGACTCTTCCCTGTTTTACACTCCTTTGAAATCTAGTAGTCCCTTGTACATACACTTATGTACTTCAAGTTCTCTGGTAACTAACACATAGTAAACAGAACAGAACAAAACATCATTTGTCTGCCCTGGTTGTTTTCACAAAGGTGTCTGTGTAATCTGCCGTAAGACCGGATCTAAACTGGCATCACATCAGCTATCTGTTTTAGACATGTCAGATATTTTAAATTTAGAAGTCAGAGTTCTACGTTCAGCCAGCTGAGGAAGTTGGACACCTCTAGGACAACTGAAGCTACCTTTGTCTTTTTCCCCATCTTTTGCTCATAGTCATATTCTGCCATTTTTACTGTGCACAATACTGAACCTTATGACCTATCTGAAAACACAACGCTGTTTTCCTGCAGAAAGATGTAATTTTACTGGTGGAAAATGCAAACAAATATAAGACTTCTTGATACTGTAGTCCAAAACTAGTATTAGAGGTCTTAAAATACATTTTATTAGCAGTAAAGGGATATGACAAACAGATTTGTCAAAATATGGTCTACTGAGTTTCAATGGTACCTTTGTTACCAGGACATCATATACACATTAAAAACAAGCTAGTAATGATAAACACCTTGTATATGCTTGCTGTTCAAAGAAAATATTAGTAATCAAGCTAACAATGTGATTAATTTTGTCATCGTAACTGAAAACCAGTGATGCTCTGTAATGTAAATACTGTAATTAAGTTTTAACTTAGCTTAAATTTTCAGCAGCCGCAGATGATGCTAGCAATATTTGTCTGTCAAATACTGGTAAATACTTCCAGATACTGATTTTTAAGCCTTACTCCAAAAATATTCCTACTCAAACACATTCAAATATTATTCTACTGTGTAGCTCTACCCTTACTCAAACACAGTATCCTAACAGGAACAAGAACTGCTGTGCTCTCACTGCAAAGCAAGGCAATCTGAGAATGTGCCATGGCCAGCAATGGAGCAACAGAGTAAACTAAACAAAGTAGAAATAAGAAAGGAAAAAAATCTCTCCCAGTTGTTCATTGTTCAAAGTATTAAGACTAGCCAAGCCAAAAGTCATCAGCTCCAGAACTGGACTCAAGGGATCTGTGAAAGATGCACTACGGGCATTCTTTAGGTTTTTAAAGACAGCTGTATTTCCCACAATTATGCTATTCACAGATGATATGGAGAGTTACCGATGTTAAACAAAAGCGTCAATCTTTTTCCTGCAGGTTTCAGGCATGTTCACAAGATACACATGAAACCTGTACTGAAATGTTCTAATTTCCGGCTACAATTTTTTAAATGAATTTAATTACAGATAATAAATAAGAATCTCTTAATGAAACAATTTCCCACATATACTCAAGTCAGGACTTATGTAATTCAAATTCACTGAAAATTTAGTCTTTCAAATGGACACACAAATTTCCATTTTTAAAGACATATATTGAATGATATAACCTATGAAAAAAATAAGTTACACTGTAAAACAAAATAAAACCCCTGAACTCCATAAACATGACTGGTTTCCCTCCTTTCCTCTATGGATCAAAGCTATTGCATATTCTTTTAAATAGCTGTGAAATATTTTAAAAAACTGTTCCGATGTTTTAAAATAGGCTAATTTCTATGAATCCTTAATTAGACAAACAGAAAAAAGAAGGTAAAAGAGGGGGGGAAAGGGGGTTTCTGCTTGCATAAATGATCTCACATTGCTACACTGCTGATAGTGCTGATGAACAATACCACTTAGTTGATACTGCTTACCTATCTTTTTCCTGGATGCTTGAGGTGTACCATCTATTGTCAGAAGAGGAGGAAGTTTCTGCTGAGATTCATTGAGACCTGGAACAATAAGGTGCACTACACAGAAAGATGTGTGACGTTAATTCCAGAAGAGATGAAAAACACACCGTCTTCCCCCCGAGGTATGTGAGCAACTACTACTGAACCATTGTGAGTTTAGTCCCAGTATCTGGGAAATCCGTTAGTTCTATTCAGTAATTATCACTCCCATTTGGTGCTATTTCCCCTTTACACCACTCACTGTATTATCACCATTTCATGATTAATCAGGATTGAAAACAATTCAACATTAGAGCATACAACACTGGAGCATACAACCCTGGAGTACTGCAGTATCAGAGATGCTGAGACATTCTGTCTAGTGGGCCAAGAGGACTTGACACCAAACGTGGTTGGTAAGTATCTGATTCCCATCAATACATAAAAATTCACACAAAGCAAAAGTTAGGGAGTTATACAAAGTATTTCTGTATATATAAAAGGACTAAACACCTTCCTGAATCCAGGAATAAGTTGGTCGTGAGGTGCATGACACAGTGAGCCTTTCCTATCTGTTCCAGGCAGACCAGTAGTTCATTATACTAAGTAGTACCTGATAGGATTTTCCTATTTTTATGTTCTAAGCCAATATTGTGTATTCTTACAGGTCAAACAAGAACAGAAAGCACAAAACCGACTGGCTTGGGGGAAACAGTGATGCCCCGAGGTCTAAAATCAAGCTCTAATTGCAAGGAAGATTACAATATACATCACTGTAGCCTAAATATATCTGTACAGGCTTTGTCTGTAGATGGTATGTTATCATATCATCTTAAAAAAAAAAAACATCAACAAACAAACAGTAAGAACAACCCCTGATCTCAATAAGATCTTTGCCACAGAACTTTACTTGAAGTATGAAAGGCCTTCTTGGCTTAAACAGTGACAGTATCTTCTTTTAATTACTATGACAATAAAATGATTCTATTTCCCTTAGGCTACATCATACTTCAACCAGCTGTACCACCATAAAATATAACAAATACTTTCTGAACCAGCTGCAAAATACCCTTTGATATGCAATGAAAGAACAGTCAAGATCATGAAAATTAAAAGTATTTACACAATTTAGTTTGCAGCCAAAGATGAGGAAAAATAATAAAAATATCTGCTAGTCACCTAATATTGCTCCTGGCAGAGAAGAACTATCTGAAGTTTTTGACTGCGTCCGATTTTGAATAACTGTGGAGACAACACAGGGATATTAGAAAATAATGTTAAAAAATCCCAAACAAGAAGCAAACCCACACCTGAGACAAACCTCAGCATTCTGAAAATCTTCCCTCAACTTAATAATTGCAGATGAGGACACCATCCTAATCTTTTCTGCATTTGCATTCAGTTTGAGAGACTGCAAACTGTTTCCTCCACATCACCTCTTAACTGTGCATCTCTTTCCCCTAGCATATCAGTTTTACATCCTTGGTGAAAAATGACATTCTATGCTTATCTTAATATAGCGCCAGCTCTAGGCCATCTCATTACCCTGCCATTCACAAGTCTTCAAAAAAAGATGCACGTGAAGTAAATGTCAGTACAGTCATATTTTAATGATAATTATCGTATTTTGCTTTCACGCCACCCTCCGGTGTTTTCCTTTCCTGAACTGTGAAATACTTCCAAAGACAATTTACTTGATTTTGTTACTTAAAATTATTCACAATACAATTTCCACTAGCAAGTTTTAATCTGGAGCTTATTTTCTATCAGCTATCTTTAAATAGTTAATTTTCAAAGATTACACTACTATACTACCTTTCACTACCAGAGAGAAACAGGAATTTCTAAAGGGCAATATGTTTAAGTTTACTGTAGATATATCTCTCCACTGACCAAGGAAAGGAGAAGGGAGTCTAAGTAAATGACTTAGCTGAAGATACCCACAAAAAAGTTTCATAGCATGGACCTTATCCATGCTGCTGCCCTTCATGCCTGACTATGAAGTTATGCACACCTGAGAGATCAACATACCCAAACAATCCAGTTGAAAAAGAATGGATACTGGTAGAAATCAGAACCAATTGGTATCCATTCAATGACTCAACTATGTAATTGTTTATAATGCAATGTAATAGCTCATTTTATTAACACAGATAGGTAACTGCTTAATAGTCTTTATAGTTAAAGGATATCATTGTTTGTAAGGTTCCACTTATTCTAAGGGGAATCTTTCATGACATTCACATCCGAGTCAGATTTTTTTTTTTCATTTTAATTTTAAGTTACTCTTGCAGAGCATAAGAATCAATTTTAAAAAAATATACAACTTTACCTTGTTTGATTATTGTGACAGGGACCAACTTCTTATTATCACGCAGTGTAAGCTGAGAGAAGAGGGGGGGGGGAGAAAAAAAGCCTTGGTATAACTGCCATAATAGTGACTGAACTTAGTTACAAAAATAGATGGCTCTAATCCAATACTGTGCCTGCCCCAAGTTAAGACTGGATATGGCTCTAGCCCTTGTCACTGAAGGTTACACTATCGCTTCAGTTCCCATGGGCTAGTATGGTAATATTGCATTTTGATCTCCTTTTTTCAGCTTGAGATGTTTCGCTTCATAAAAACACAGTATTTGACAGCTTAGGAATCCTCAATCCTTTTTTCTTTTAAGAATCTCTTCAGCACTCACTGGGGAGTAGTCCAGAAAGCTAAGAAAAGCAGAAATTTAACTCCAACAAAACATCTGAAACACATGCAATTACAAATTTGGTCACAGGATATAATCATATTCTTGGGAGTGATATATTCAGAACACAAACTATTCCAGAACCAGGTGTACATTTTTAAACTATCAGCACTCTTGGGTGCATAGTCTGCCTAAAGTAGATTAACTCAGAGTCATTTTATCTGGTGAAATTGTTTCCAAAGTGTAATTGGCCAGCCACTCCTGTTCTTCTCACATTTTTATGCCTAATACTTGGTCTCCTCTGCTGTTCACTTCTCATTGACCCAGATTACTTTTTGCCTAAGTGTAAATCTTTTCCATCATTTTGATACCACGAAAACAAGGAACCCATGAATGAAACCCACATTTATTACAAGGAAGAAAACAGCTGATCCCAAAGATAATAAATCAGTATTCACTACCATACATGGGTACTAGGAACAACTTCCGAAAGCTTAATATACACTCAGGCAATGAGAAGAGATAGACTTTAATGCAAGCAACGTGAAAAAGCTAACTACATTAAAAGTGTGTGTGTGTTCCAGTTATATCTGAGTTACAAGAAAATAACTAACAATTACCTTTTATGACAAAGCTTTAATTATTTACCTAAGGATAACTATTTTTGCTCTATTCTAAATATTAAAAAAAAAAAAAAAAGCTGTAAAAGCAATGGTTGGGTACACATCAAACACACACCAAAGTCTAAGAAGCTGAAAGAAGGCAAATCTCAACAAGATGTCCCTTTCCTCAGGGAAATGGATAGTGGCTGCTTATTCTATGAAAGCCATTACTTTCTGCTACCTAATAACAGTTTTGCATTGGCATGAACATAGTTTGAAATTAAGTGGAGATTTCAATCATTGTCATTAACGAAGAATATAAAATAATTTTCCTTTTTTATTGCTTACTATTTTTCTTTTATTATTAACAAGTTTTACATTTCTATTTTGCCTTCTAGTGACAAAATGTGTGACAGATTATCAGCTTTCAAAGTAACCCTGCTGTTCATGTGACTAACAAGTGGGATGAAATGCATTTATCAAAGGAAGATGTTAATTTTATTTTATTTCTCATCAGGAGCACTGCAATCAAATAAACAGCTCTCAAGTTGTAGTGAGCACTCATGTAACTCCCATGTAGAACTTCTAATCATGATTATTATCAGTCCTTTTACTAGCAAAAGGTTCTTATATTGGCAAGACCATCCTTTCTTTGTTGACTAATAATGGATGACTGTAATAACAGCAGTATGAAAATGTTAAATACATTAAAATACATTCAGAATTTAGTTTCTCACCCAAGAACAAATCATTGACATGAAATCTGTGTTCTGCAGCTGCTATAATTACACTGCTTACCTGCATGAATCTGCAAATGCTGCACTTGAAATCTATGGCTGTGTTTGTCAATCCTCTCAGTCTCCAAAAAGTGACTACTTTAGATATTTCTATGTCTACTAAAATTTACTACGGGGCAATTTATTTCAGAAACATCAGCATGTCATCTGTGAGAATGGCACTACTAAGTATATTTTACAGAGAATACAAAGCATACAGGTATCATGAACATAAGTTATTAAAATGACTGTGGCATCTCCATGAATGAAGGAAGCTGGCAAATAATGTATTTCTTAATCTCAGAGGAAAATTAGACATATAAGTTATACCATAAGTCAGGCATCTTGACTTCTGACCATATACCTGTGGCATATTGAATAAAGGACTGCAGTTCTCAGACATTCTGTCAAACAGCATATGGCAACATTAAGAAACACTTGTTTTTTCTGCCCCTCTTATATTCCAGTACTCCAAAAAGCCACAAACAACTGGTATGCATGTAAGAGACTCCTCAAGGAAGGATCACAGTCAACCTGGATTGAATAAGTTTTGGAAGAGCAAGTGTGTTTTCTTCTAGAGTTTAACAAGCAATAGAAGTTGAGAGTCCTGCTTTTTGGCTGGAAAAATAGAGGGGGACCCCATCTTTCAGACTGACATAAAATTACAGAAACCTGATCAGATAGAAGAGGAAATAAGTTTCAACTGCATTCTCTCCACCCTACCACCATCCATTGCTTATGAAGGCAAAAAAGAATGACCGTGTCTAGAGCTTTCCTTTTTTTCCCCTCTCTCATTAGTTGTAGTTCACACAGCCCCAGGAACTTAGAGACTTAAAGGACGAACCTGCCAAAAGAAACACAAGCTGATATGTGATGGATGTTGAAAGGGCAGAATGAATAGATGGATTGGTCATGTTGCTTTAATAAACAGCCTTTAAAAATGTCTCCTTACAGGGAAGGGTTAGGACCATGCTGATATGAGCCAGTTGTGCCTTTGGAGCAAAATAAGACACAAACAAAGCTTGGCCTAAATGACACTCACTCTGGCTTTGCACTGACGAGGCGATTGCACCACTGAAACATACCCCACCTAATTCTGTGGAAACTGAAGTAATAACGTAAACTTAAGAGCTGGCCACTATGTGCTTCCCAGCCTTATTTTTATGGCTGTTTGCACCACTAAAGTGAGAATGATAAGGGAATTTTTAGAATAATCTACGGAATGTTTTCATGGTATTTCTGTGAAGGGTGATAAAGAAGTACTGCTCTGGGGCTAAGCCCTGTGAAGCCGACCAAAAAGACAAGACGTTGGCTCCAGTCCTCCTTTCATGCTTAAGCTGTGCAAATATTTAGAAAACTGTTTTAGCTCACTTTCTCAGGACTTCTCTTGCATAAATAGAATCCCTACTTCCACAGAAGTGGCATAATCGAGTCAGGGTCCTGGCACACAGCTTTGCTAACAGGAATAAAGGAACTCAGCTTGTGCTCCATATGCCAGAATGAATTACCTGCTCCTGGGCTGTCACACGTAACACTAAAGATGCTTATGCAACTGATGGGAAGAACAGTAAAGTTGATTTCATCAACAACATAATGAGATGAGCACCTTCCTGAATATCTAATCACCTGGCTTCATACTACTCACAGATAAAACATTTTCTCTTGAATGTGAGACATGACTATGTTTCTAATAACCTAAGTATTACACTGCTCTAACTCTGGATGTAATGTTATAATTAAAGTATTACTGTCCTAAATGAATACCTACAAGAAAACATTCCTACAAGAAAACTTATGTAATGAACTATGGTTTGATTCCTAAAGGAATTCCAAGTCTGGTAATTACAGACCATTTACAATGTTGTACAATATGTAGAATGAAGAATGAGAAACCACACATTTCCTACCATGAAAACACTTGGAAAATCAGAGACAGAACATGTGAAGACAGAATGTGAAGAACGGATTTTTCCCGTATCATAATCATCACTCATGAGTCAACCCTTTAAAATGTCTGAAGTAACACTGACTTCTACAACTTTTCTTGGGAAGTTACCCCATAGCCTACCTCAGGGATAGTACCTTATAAACAAAGCCAAACAAAAATAAGCCCAGAAGATTAGCTACCGAAACTTGCACTTTGATGAAAAATTAAGGAAAGGAAATATGAAGAAACCAATTTAATTTCATAGTAGAGGAGGTAATGCTCAGAAGTTATGAATAACGTGTCTTATTTTTCATTGTATTAAAACTAATCTACTAACAGGTTCAATTTACAGATCCTTCATTTCTGCTTCAGCTCTTGGAAGCAAAAAGTATCTAGGTATGGGAATACACAAACGTATGAAACCCACCCATGCTTGCTTGACAGCTGTTATGGAAAATGCCAGATGAGAAAAAAAAAAAAAAAAAAGGATATTAATAAATATTGATATTTATTTTTTACAAAAATCTTCAAATGCTTTGATGAAACTGTTAAAAATTCTACCTTGTCACCTGCAAGGATTTCATGATCTGCCTAGCAGTCTTGATAAGAAAATTAAATTGCCCTTTCCAGCTTCCTCTAGTTCTGCAACACTTGCCTAACATATGAGAGCTATTAGTGAATTCAATGGGATGACTAACGATTTTAGAAGACCTGAGTATACACAAGATTACTCTATAAATGACAGCACTACCTTATCACAAAATGAACTGACCACCACAAGTATCACGGGTTAACAAAACTGACTACTAGAAAGGGATAAGCAAATTCTAATGTTTAGAATCCACACATGGAAACCAGAAGCTTCGTCTTTGTTAAACAGGAATCATCTCAGCTACAGTTCTCACTCACTTCTTCAATCCACACATGTAACAACTTCTCCATACAATTATCTAGTCTTAGATTTAACAGACTTTTTTTTTTATATTGGCAATTTGTGGCCATAGTATCTTTCTTGCTTTACTCTAACAGAGAAGCAAAAATTTGACCACACAAAATACAAATCTGGTATAAAAAATGAGACTGTTTTGCATACCTGTGTTTGGGAATTGGGTACCAACTTGTACATATTCTGGAGCTGTCCATTTACTTTATCTAATTTGACAGAAAGATAAATAAATACACGGAATTACTTTTTGTTTTGTCCAAAGTAAAGCAAACCAAGTTTATTCACCTTTTTCAATAGCTAAGAAAGTTCAAAGGCTTAATTACAAGGTATAAAAACACACCATGTAACACTTGTTTGGTCCTGTTTCTCCAGCTTAATTAATTCATCCGCAAAGCCTCCTCTTCACATTTTGACAGAGAGGAAATGAAACGTATTCCTGTTGCTCTACAACAGCAGGTAAGAGAGCTGAAGTGGTCTTTGGGGCTTACTAAGGAGAAGTTATAGCTGCCTAAGACGATTCTTTAATAAAATTAATATAACCACAACACTAGTACACACAGAAGAAACTTGAAAAAAGAATTTCTACGTCCTATCTGTCAAGCTTGTACTAGGGCTGTCTAAAAGCAGCAAGTTTCAAGGTCTCCAATAGTTATTCTTGTTTTTAAGTGCACTCTTCTAAAAGAAATGCACATTTAGCACTGGCAATACAGAGAAGGCATATCACTTCTCTTTGGGTCTAACATGGTTTCCTTTATCTCAATATATGAACAAAGCAACGCACAGACTTAATCTCTGAAATTATTCTCTTAGGTTTTTCCTTTTAGCTTCTTAGCATTAGAAGCTTCTTGTGAGGCAGCTGTTAAGCACAGAGGAAAAGCAGACCCTCCCAGCACCTCTTATGTTCTAGGCATGATGCTTTAAACTTTGTCTACATCTTCCACTTTTACACTTTTCTGCTCCCTTTGCATCAAGAGGTGTATAAACAAGAATCAAGCTAAATGTTACCATATTTCTTCACAACTCCATCCAAAACAGATAAGCAATAGAAAAAAATTCAGCTATAAAGAAATTTCAATTGACAGACATTGAAGTTGACATGCTATCCTAAAAAAAAAAAAAATCTTTCAAATTGCTTGATATTTCCCAGAAACAGAACCTACTATTGGCCTAAAGACAAGGGGAAACTGACAAAATTTTCACACTGACTTCATGAGAAAATCATGTTAAGATGGTGAGAAATAATCTAATTTCGTCTCATTTCATAAATTTTTTATTTCATAAATAAATGTTGAACATCTGCCATGCCTTTTATGTCTTCCTCAAATCATGAATTAAAAACAGAGTCTTCTCCCAACCCCTCCCAACATGTTTCATATAACACAAAAATTTGGCCTGTAGATTCAACAAATACAAGTACATGCAACAGGAATTTCAGTTGATAGTAATTTATATATTCTTCAGTAAGAAAAAGAAGTTAACAGTGAAGGATGTTTCGTTTAGGTTGAGATGCTTCTTAATATACGAAGAGACCTTGAGTTGCTGCAAGACAGTAAGTTAAAACAGAAAAAAGTGTCCATTTGTGCTGATTGGTAAACTCCTGTGCAGACAGACGGTTACAAAATTGTAATAAATGTTCACTCTCTGTTTATTGTCCATAGTTTCTGTATCTACCTACTGTGCACTGACAATATGAAAGGCTTGAATCTGAAAGATGCTGACAACTTTCTGATTAGAAGATACTTTATCAGGAGACCAGAATATAGACAGACAGGGTAATTGCAAGTTCCCTGGATTCAGCTGCTGCAGAAGCATCCACTGAATACACAGATCTACATTCTAGGAAAAACCCATCTAATCTAAATAGAATATGAAGTCTTACAAGTAAGTATCTTTCAACCAAACTTAATCTAATCTGTCTCCGTAACTTAAAAGAATGATTCTCCTGGCCTGTTAAAAATGTATAACATCTGTACAAAACAACATGTAGAAATATGTCATATACAAAGAGCAAGTTTGGTGATGCCAGTGGACATTTCAGTCAGTCTCAAGCACAGTATTAAACTATAAAGAGTGTGCTCTTTTTATTCTCTCCTATTTTAAGTTTTCAAATATATTCCAGCACTTGCTCTACAGATGACTTTAAAACATTTAAAATTTAGGAAAACCAGCCATTTAGTAAGGCTTCTTTAGTGCTGTGAAGCAGCATTTCTTTTTGTGAGGCAGGTATGGGAAAATATTACCACCATTCTCCACTTTAAGCCCATGGTATAACGGTGACATTCCTCTGGACTGCTAAATGACTCTATGGGCACTTGGCAAGTATTTCAAAGTTACAGCTTTCTAATTTATGATGAGCGCCAGCAAAGCTCTTTAATGGGGAGTATGAGGGCTTTTGCAGTGTTACAAGCCACCCTACTTCTCCCCTCCCTTATTCTCAAGTATATCGAGCTGTGTAATTCGCCTACAAACTGGCAACAGAGGTTCAGCTGGAAATCTCGTATGAATAAGGCTCTCTTATGAGAATTCCCATTCTTCACATTTTGAGTCAAGCTAGAAATACTGAGCACAGGAGTTTACAGCGTTTTCCAACCAACATCACACTCAGAAATACCTTTAGTAAATGCTTGAGGAAAAGAAATGAAAATGGACAATGTCTCTCAAGTCCTCTCTTCAGAAGGAGGAAGACTCTGCTGCTGCTTATTTCCTCCATTGATAGCAGTGATTCTTTGAGCAGTACAAGGGTTAATTTGATATTACTTTGCCTGCATTGTCTTGGGACTTCGGAGAAAAAGCTTAAGATATGACTGAGAGAACAGCCAGAGATGCCATACACTACCTCCATGAAAAACCAAACAAAAGCATACATGACAACACATGCTTCAAACACAATTTATGTAATTCCTTGACTGAGAATTAACTTCAAATTCAACTTTCCAGCAGAGTCATAAAGGGTCCATTGTGATGCATGCTGGACAGGACAGGCGCTGCCTAGCTTTCAACCAGCATGAACGTAAAAGCAGATATAAAAGAAGATTCAAACAAGTATAATGCTTTCCATCAACTCAAATTAGTAATAATCTCATTATTCAAGGCCCAAAGAAAAAGCTTAGAATCCAGTTGAAATGGTAAACATACATACTCAACACTTCATGTGTATCTAAACTCATTACTGTTAGATGTCTACCAACCTGCAGCAGATCCTCTACTACTTGCAACAAGAAGAGAACACCTTTCAGAAGAGTAGGTGGCTATTTTTCAAACACAAACTATTTCTAGATTTACCAATTCCTAAAAGAATTTGTTAGGGGCATAAGGCATATCATTTAAACAATGAAAACCTGATCAGTAGCTTACTCTAATATCACAATAGAGGAAAAAGCACTGTCAAATTGAGTAGCTATTTAGTTAATTATTGTCAAATACTTACTCGACAGAACTGTCTTATGATTGAAAGTCTTGCTCCAAATACCATCCTCTACATTGTCTTTAACTCCAAATTCATAAAGTGTGTTTGGCTTCAGATTCTCCACCACTGTCTCTGTAACTGGGCAAAGCTGAAAAACCCATTTCTTGTCTTTACCCTTTTCTCTGTAGCGAACTGTATAGAACCTGCTTGACAAAAAAAAAAGAAAAAAATAATAAATTTTCTTCATATGGAAACTCACTATAACCATTTTAGTTAGGAATTACTAAAATAACTTCTACCCACCATTGTTCTTGTTCTTTCTGGCCCCTTATGGTTAACAAATATCAGAAAAGCCAGCATATTTTCCCCGCAAACGTACTGCCGGCCCAGTCATCTCCTAGATACCTACGTGCTCCCTATCACACAGACCTGACATTAGGAGTATTATATCAAGCGCAAAAGAACAGTCTTCTTATTCACAAACAAACATGTGTGTGAGGTTCTGACCACAAACCTCAAGCTCACTTTGCAAGCAATTCCTGTGATTCTGACATATGGCAGAACCAGTCAATTGAATCATGAGTATATTAGTCAGGAAGCCTCAACCAGTTTCTCAAAATCTTCTGTATCCGTCCAGGGGAAGGTGTTCCCCTCAAAATTAGTCCAAAAAGATTCTCAAGGGAAAACCAGTAATACTTGACATTTAAATAATACATTCCTCATTCAGTGATCCCATTATGTATTGCCCACACTTCAAACAAGAAAGTAAACCAAGATATTACTTTCAGCAGTTTAAATCAATAATGTGATGAATGCTAACAGATTATGAAAATAAAAAACATTTCTACGGAAATTGCCCAATTCAATCAAGCAGCACCACCCTGAAAAATTATGACTGCAACGCTAACCAGTATAAAACAATGCAGTGTAAATGGTGAGAGTTACGGCACAAGAACTCCACCGGCTGTTACAGGCCCATTTTCAATATACATGCTGAATCACTGCCAGAATGAGGTGAGGTTTTCTGTTTCTGTAAAAACAAATCTCGGAGAGATCTGGCAACTTTTCATTCCATGTGCTACTGAAAATTATTACACATAATGTAAAGCATATCCGTTGTCCAAATCCATCTTACATTTACATCAGCTGAGAAGGGACGAATTCCATCCAATTGCCTTTTTCCATACTTCAATATAGCAAATTAAGGCCAGAAAACAAACACAACTCTAAAACCCCGGGTACATGCCTAAGAATCACTCAGAAGCAAAAAGAGTAAGAAATTCAGGTTGTGAAATTTAAGCCAATTATTATATAGAAAAAGATATGGAGAGAAAGGAAGGGACCTTAAGAAAACTACCCCACAAAGTTCTTTAGTCATTTGAAAAGGTTTCAAAAGTGCAGATTAAAATGGAACAAATATAATTCTGCCAATGCATAAAGCTGCTTTTGCCAAAGTTACAGAAGAGCACTTCCAGAGTAGAGTATATGTGAAAGATGACCGTTGAGTATACAGGGAAATTCCTGCTTCATTATTAAAACACCACCTAAGACAAGGCAAGTGCCAATCACGGAAAGTATTTTCATACACAATGATTCACTCTGTTAACCTATTTTATCTCATAACTGTCCAATTTCTTTTCTTGGCAGCAGAAATATAGGTTCTTCTGCTTTAGTTGCTACAATTCAGCTCATTCAGGTATTCTGCTGGGTTACAAAATTGATATTTATGTTGGCTCACGTAACTCTCTTCATTAGCTGCACTACTTTGTGTTCAAAACAAGCCATAGTCTAACCCAAACCTTGGAAAGGAAAGAAATATGACTAGTAGCGAATAACCTCTCTCTTCTTATTGATTCCTGGACTACCAAGCAACAATCTTCATCCTTACTTCCATGGGCTGTGATCTACTCAAATTTCATGTCAAGCAATAGATCTAACTGTCAGCTGGACTGACAAAGAATGTTTTTAACAACACATTATTGTCGATATATTAAATGAGGAAAATTTCTCCTCCTTTATCCTCTTAATCCTTTCATACGTAGTCACCCAGACATTAACAGGCAAGAAAACCTTAGCTGAAATCTCTGTCACTATCTTGCAAAAGACGTAACAGTAATAAACTAATCCCATCTGTGACATTAATGCATCTTGCTGGACTTCACAAAGTCTCTTGGCAAGGGATTTAGAATAGGTATAGATAGATCTATGATCAAAACGTGAACGATAAATAGTAGTCACATTCTTTCCAGCCTGCCTGAAAGAAGAAATTTCATTTCTTTTCATCTTCACCCTTACCTTTTCCTACCTGTTTTAGTTGAATAGGGTAGAAATAAAGTGATTGTATATGATGGAAAGAAAACAGTATACTGATTCATTTCAGTTATTCAACAGTCTAAATTAATAGCTGCATCAGAAATGAGGAGGAAAGAACCCCACCACAAACGTGTTCATAATGAATAAGCTTTTAAGTGGCTGCTCCCACTTGCTTCTACTGTAGAAAACGTTCTGGTTTTGAATACTGTCTCCACAACTGCAAACTTCTTCTCCCTAATGTGAATTAAAATTTTGCAAGAACGCTTGCACACCAAGAAATATCTTTCACCAAAATGCAATACTATTAAAAAATCTATCAAGAAAATTTTCACAGTTGTGCCAAAGTTTGCCATTAGAAATAGAAACATCTAGCATAGAAGAAATGTGCTTCCAACTCCAAGCTTTCCAAGCCTGTAAAAACTTCACCAAAGGTGTAATTATTTTGATAGAAACTTGCCACAATGAGTAGTAAAAACACTGACTGCAGTGACAGAATTTCCTCAACCATTTTGATAAAAAGCAACCAAAATGAAGTTCCATTTAACAATTTGCAAGTCACAACCGTTTGAGTATTAAAAATATCCAAATTGTAAACAACATGCAACTTTTGGGGAAATGCAATAATTTGTTTGGAGTACAAATTGAGAAATGCCAAGTTTTGTCATCAAAGAACAACAATTCATTATTGAAACAGACTCACAAGCTGCCAAATACAGTGCAGTTTCAGTTCTGCCTAAGAACATTCTACTGATCAAAGCTTGTTGCCATTTTAATTTCTCCCTGTTTCAAACCTTCCATTCAGAAAAAATGAAATATCAAACAATCAACACATATAATTGAAGACATGAGAAAACAGTAAAATCCAGTCATCACTCACATGTATCAAACCCCTTGTGACAGTGACATACACATACAAAATTTGGGCAGCTGGCCTGCTATGTGTAGCAGAAACTACAAAACTGCTTCTCCTGGACTGCAACTATTTAGAGAAACCTCTCCATAGATTCCCCCAAAAAGTCAGGCTGAAATGGAGTACAGCTGCACTCACATACAGAGGAAAGGTACACTACATTGTTTCTCAGATAAAACACTTCCCTATCTCTGTGAAGTAACAATATGAAAAACTGATTGCATACTGCAGGGTTCTAATAGCTAATATGAAAACAATACACTATTCAAGTAAATTGGAACAGTGCCGGGAACGCTATTCACAGCTGTGAATGCTAGTTTGATGTCTCAGCAAGGAGGTGGTACACCCAGTTACATTGGGTGAGAATTAATTTTAATTTAGAGTCTCACCATGTACAAAGACCTGGCAATATTTCCCTGATTTTAATTTTGATTCTTTCTTTGTTTTGGTGGGGGATATGAAAAGGGCGTATTTCATCAAAACAACGTTTATTGAATAATGCTTGTATTCCTATTTACAACAAACACTAATCAGAAGATTTCAGGGTTCACTTCTTTTGCATCTAGCACTCTATAAAACTTTACAGCTCTTTTGTTAAGCTCCATAAAAAATTAATATCTCTCTCTCTCCATAACTGACAATGTTTCACTCATTAGAAGATACGTCCAAGCAAACCACCAGGGGGTCTGTAGAGCAATTTTACCTCCTCTCTTTTTACTAGACAACTGAAAGGATGATAAACTCCAACAATATAAACAGAAGATGTCATGAGGAGGAGAGGTGTACTATTCCACTCAGAGTTAATTCCTGTAATAAAGTCAACAACAATAGAAACATGACAAAGAAATAAAAAGCTACTTTTGCCAAGACTGTCTCTCTCCACATGCATTTGTGTGACACCATGATCTGTTTAATGTTTGCATTCTTGAAACTCTACATCAACAAGCTTTAAGTATCCTTTTACAATATTCTGACTTCACTTGCTTCCCCATGTGATGCACACAAAATGTGAAATAATGTTAGAAGTAAAAGAAGCAAAACCAACCTCACCATTTAAAGGAAGCCAGAAGAGTGTGATATTACTCTATAGGTCAACCACTGTACTGATTACTGTATCTGAAAAGTCTATGTGAAAGACTATCAGCCCAACAAAAAAGAATGTTTCTACTATTTCTATGTTCAATTTACATAGTTTAGTTGTTTTTTTTTTTTAAACTCTGCAATGCAAGGAACTGAAACTTTTTCTTTCTCAGCTTAGAGCTAGCCTTCTTATTACACAAGGAATCAAAATATGATGACCATTTTAAAGAAGCAGCCCACAGAGGTTTTGCTTTTGAAATTAAGGAAATCTCACTCGTTGCTAAGAGAAGCAAAATTCCAGGATGGATAGGTAAAATATTAAGCTTTCATATATCAGTATGAATGACATTGTCTTGCCAAGAATTCCAGTAATATTTTTCCCATTGTTAACCAAATCTCTTTTCAGCCAGATTCCCAGAAAAAGCTTGCACAGTCAAATATTTGGGCACAAACAATTAGATACTGGAAATCTTACAAGGCAGATGGTTCTATGAGATTTCCAGATTAGGTCAGTTTGTATAAATATCATGGGTTTATTTGGAATCAGATCCAAACCAAAACTCCAAACAATTTAATCATGACTATTTCAGTCACATATAACACTAAACAA